ACACATACACACACACTCACACACACACACACACACACACACACACACACACACACACACACACACTAGGCAACAAAATTAACGCAACATCTGTTTACTCTGCAAAAATAGGCAAATTTCAAGGTACCATAACTTCGTAAAAAATTGTCGTATCGGGATGTTTAAAAAAGCATTTTACAGGTAGAAACCTCTATTTTTCGGATTGCTACTTAAAAAAACGGTCTCATGGAGATTTTATGAAGTTATACAAACATAAATAAAGATATATCAAACCTCAAAATTTTTTATGAAATTGCAAAGCTCCATGGAGTGGAATAAAAATTGTATATAAATACGATTTATATCATTCAACGTTGAAGCAAAAATGGTCCGGGTTTTTTGGGAACCAAAAATGGTCCCCAAAAAACTCGATGAAAAAAAATCGTACGCAACTTCGTAAAAAAGCAAATTAAAGGTAAAGATTTGCTCTTTCGAATGATATAAATCGCATTTGTATACAATTTTTAATCCAGTCCGTGGAACTCCGTAAATTTCGCAAAAAATTTTGAGATTTTATATCTTTATTTATGTTTGTGTTCATGAAATCTCTGTGAGATCGTTTTTTAAGTAACAATCTGAAAAGTAGACGTTTCAACCTATAAAATGCTTTTTTAATTAATATCCCGATACGACAATTTTTGACGAAGTTATTGTATCTTGAAATTTGTCTATCTTTTGCAGAGTGAACAGGTGTTGCGTTAATTTTGTTGCCCCTTAATATTCTTATATAAATTTGAAATAAGAAAAATGTATTTGACACATTTTTCGTTTTTTAATATATAATTTAATTTGTTATTGACTCTTATATACCCTATTATTATATTTATTTCTTATTAATATCAAAAGTCCTTTATTATTATTGTTAATTTTAATTTGCGCTGTAAACATGCGTCAAACACATTTTTTTTATTTCAAATTTATACAAGAATATTAAGAATATCAAGCTAATAGATTATTAAAATCACGATGATGTATTTTTTTCACAATCAACACTATTGGATTATGGTAACATCTTTATATTAAGTAAATATCTGAAGAGGATCTAATTCAAAGACCAAAACATGTATTTAATAGCGTATTTTAATTGTAATTGTTTAGAATACAGTATATTATTTTGTAATTTTTCGTTTTTTTAAATATATAATTTAATATGTTATTGATTCTTATATGCCCTTTATTGTTATATTTATTTTTTATTAATATCAAAAGTCCTTTATTATTATTGTAAATTTTAATATAATTTTGAAATATGTATATGTAACAAGTGATCCCAGTAACTGTAACATCCGATCCCGCATATGGGGTTAGATGTTACAAGATGTATTATATGATCTTATATACTTTATTAATACTAGAAAGTTATCATATTATTAAATTATAAAAATAATTTTGGTGTAATGCAAGCATGTGACTATTGTAAAATGACTTTACGGTTTATATTCTATTTATTAGTTGCGTGCAAAAAGATTCCTTAAAAATTGTATCAACTATCCCTGATCTCCCTTACCCAAAGTCTCCGTACTAAATGTATGCAAGCTAATTTTGTTATTTAAACAAATTTTGTTATTGTAGTTTACTTTTATAATTGATTGTATGCTGAGAGATTTATCATTATTATTTACTTATTTATTATTTACACTTATTTTGCAAGATTCGAAATAATCGATTCGAAATTTGGATATTTCAACAATATATTTACAGAAAGCAAAGCATGTCTTAGCAAAATCGCACAAATCTGTGATTGCTTATGATGCTGGCAACTTGCCGTAGATTTATCTTCAACGATTTCGAATTACCGACATTGTAGCATCATGCAGACAACAATGTGTATATGTATTGCCAGCAGTTTAACAGCAAGATAGCTGCGTCAATGTTATCTTGCGTTGTCGGCAATATTATACGACAGCATTGTATAATGCTGCTTATTATGGCAACATGATGGCAATAGTACGAATTTTGATAATGACAATTTTAAAGTTGTCGGCAAATTGCTGGCAAGCTGCTACTCAATATTATCATATCGTGAAGACATCGAGTTGCTAACAAATAAGGATTCAGTTACTATAATTCTAGTAGCAACATACTTAGCAATGTATACTTAGCAAGCAACAAGACAGACACATTGCTATCTGGATTAGCACAAATTCCTGTTACTTTTAAGTAAAATATCAACGGATACGTTCAGCAGAAAAAGCAGCTTTGCAACTGTTGTAAAATTCTTGAATATGGTTGGTTTATACATTTATAGCGAATTCGATTGGACGTATTCAGTGAGCACAGTTAGCACATTAAAGCCATCATACACAAAATATCATAAAGATATGTTTATAAATAAACATAGACATTGATAAAATCGTAAAATACTCAATACAGTTTATTATATTATTAGGTAAAATAATATATTTTATAATTTGAAATATTTGCATTTTATTCTTATACTCAAATTAAATCAGTGTACAACGAGTTTAATATGTCCCAATGCACACTAGGGCTTCCAATCGAATTCGTCATTAGATTCAGTGAGGAACTAAGAGCAAAACCAATCATATTAAAAAATTTTATAATAATTGCAAAGTTGCTCTTTCTATTGAATACAACATTGTTATGTATGTTGTTCCCCTACTTTAATCTTTTTTTAGCAGAACTCATTTTTTAAGAAAAGTTGCAGAGCAACAAATTTTTTTCTTTGACAACTTTTTAATCACAAATAAATAGTATTAATTTGAATTGATTCTGTTCACTTTGTTTCATTAATTTATAAAGCTTCAATCCCAAGTTTTTTCCATCATAAACGTCGGAGTATTTATTTATTTTTTATAAATTTAAATTTATGTATTAAGACTTTAAATACAAAGCGCCTTCCCGGTCCGAGTGTTAAGATGTTGAACTACTATCTAATATACATTCAATTAAATTGAATTAATATTTCAGAA